GGGGGGTCTCAGAGGGTTAGGTTCCTCAGATAGTTAGGGATCAACGGGCACCACTTTGGTCGTTTGATAGGAGGGAAGAGAAGTGAGGAGTAATGCAGGGCCCTGGCTGAGGATTCGAGGCAGGTTCAGGTCTGAGAAGCTGAGGATATCACTACTGAGAAACAAGTTGGAGAGCAGAGTAGTTATCTCAGCTAACAAAATGTGCTGGCCTGGGAAGGGTAGGAGAAAACAAGTAGGGCAGAAGGAAGGGCTGAGGAAGCCAGCAGAGGGAGCAGAGGAGTAAGCACCTACTTGGTGAAGATGTGGTGTGATATATGGGGAATAACCACTTAGAAAGCAGTGCCATTCTTAATCTGTAGAATGGGAAATAGAATCAGATACTCAGAGAAGGCAAGCAATTTACCTGAGGTCACACAGCACTTTAAGCCCAACTGAAGCCTCCTAAGTCCTCCCTGCCACACTTACCAAGCCCCACCCACAGCTGTGTTGCAGCCAGGGGCCCTTAACGTGGTGCCCAGGAAAACAGGTGTGGAGCACAGTGCCAGGCCTGATTAGTGTCTTCCTCACCATCTTCTACCAAGGGGCTGTGATTAGACCTATTTATAGGGGCCTGGTGCCTTAATATTCTGCTTGGTGTGTCTCTTGCCAATCAAATCAGTGCCGTCTGCAGTGTGATTGCTGCTTTAGTGGCACCAGGGAGTGGAGTTAATTAAACCCAGTATAAATAGACTCTGCCCTGTCTTGCAATTCAAAGGAGTGCTTTTCCTTCCTATTTCCTGGCCCCCCTTCCCCTCCTTCCTCCTGGCTCCCCTAACTGTAGCCTGGGTGAGCAGAATCTGAACACTTAAACCTAGAGTCACTAGCCACTGCCTGTCCTAGCTCAGGAATAGGCCCTGAGTACCTCAGGGACCAGTGAGAAGAACCCAGAAGTCCACATTCTCTGTGCTTTTCTATAACCTGGGTACCATTTGGCAGTTGACTGAGGCAGTTTTCCCCCGCCCCCCTCCCTGTCCCCCAGCCATCCCTCTGCGGCCAGGGGTTCTTGTTCATCTAGGCTTGGGAGGTTGAAATGAGATGTGTGATAATATGACACCTTATGGGGCCAGTCAATGTTGTACCTTCTCTGAACCCTTCTCATCAGCAGCCTCCTGTCCCTCCCTCATTTACTCAATAAGCAGCAGACCAGCTCCCTTGGGCTCCTGGCCTCCCACCAAATGCTCTGTGCCCAACTCCCCACCTGTGCAGGGTGAGCCTGTGGCAGACAGCTGGGGTGAGGGGCTGTGCTCTCTCTTCCTGGTACCTTGCCCTGTGGTGGGTGGGGATGGGTGAGTGTGGGGTGGCCCTGATGTTCTGGTTCCCCCCAACAGGCACCATGACTCCCATGAGGACCCAGCACTCGTTGGCCGGTCAGACCTTCACAGTGCCCCTCATCCAGCCGGAGCTGCGGCGAGAAGAGGCCATTCAGCAGGTGGCGGATGCCCTGCAGTACCTACAGAAGGTCTCTGGAGATATCTTTAGCAGGTGAGTGCTGCCCGCCCTGGGCAGTCATCTCCTTTCCCAGGAAGGCACACTCTAGGAGCAGGCTTTCTGGTGATTTTTGGTCCTGGGGGGCCCAGCTTAGAAGCTTTTTCTCTTAAATGCTCATAAGAGCTACCTACTGTCCCACTGAGCCCCCTGGGTTCCCTCTCTGTGGTGGTATTGCTCTCCTAACTCCTGCTCTTCCTCCCACTAGGGACCCTCATTCACTTATTCCCGCAGTCAGCAAACACGTATTCACCCCTTCCTGCGTACAGGCACTGTGCTCGTCTCCTTACAGCGCTGAGTAAGGGAGCATCCCTGCCCAACTAGAGGATAGACTCTGGCAGGAGAGGTGCTGTAATTAATCAATTGCATGTTATTTAATTCTAATTGCAATAAGACCTATTTTAATAATTCTGTAATGGCTAATATTTGTATAGCATTAACCATATACCTCCATTGATCAGAAGTACATTCACAAGAATGTTATGAGGAGGTTCTGTTGAAATCTCCTTTTTATAGATGAGGAAACTGAGGCACAGAATGGCTAAGAGACTTGCCTGAGTGGCAGAGCCAGGGGTTGCACCCAGGTATGGTGGTTCCAGACTCTGGAGTTCCTACTGCCTGTCTGAAGGGAAGATAAGTTGTTATGAGAGTTGTTAACGGGAGGCCCGACTTGGTCTGGGGGGATCAGAGAAGGCACATGTAGGGAACACATTTATGGTAAAATCTGAAGGGCGAGTGGGAGTTACTGTGGGTAGGCCGGGGAGAATAATGTTTCAGGAAGAAAGAAGTGCACAAGCCAAAGCTCCAAGGTAGGGAGGACCAGAATAGAAGCCAGTGTGGCTGGAGCACGGAGAGTGAAGGGTGAAGGGGTAAGGGGCCTCAGGAAGCCTTGAGGAGGCAGGGCCTGAGAGGTCACTGATGATTTTGAGGTGGTGAGTGGCAACTTTTGCATCTCCAGTGCTTATCTAGCGTAGTCCTTGGACTATACTGATTTTTTGCTCAGTGTTTATTTAACATGAATGAATGGTGTTTGCTGTTTCCTTGCAAAGGTCCCAGGTTTTGTCCTGTATACGGATCCTATCTTTCTCTGGTCATAAGCAACCTGAGATGGGCTTAGATTGTCTCCTTCCTAGGTGCCCACACCATCTCACATAGGGACCCTTTGTCCCACCCGGTGTCAGGTATTTGCCTGCCTGACTCAGGTTCCCCTCGTGGTCCAGGTCACCCCCACCCTCCCCTGCTTGTCACCCAGTCCAGGAATCCCCTACTGCGTCACCAGGTCACATGTTCTTCCTTCTTCAGTTGGGAGTCCACCTCTTCCTAAAGCCTTCCCCAGTGGGAGCAGAAAATGGGGTCATTGTCTTCAGTTGGACTTGGTGTAAATACCAGATACTCTGGATTCTTCTGCCTGTTACCGACCCACTAATGTACCTGCCTGCCCCAAGCCTGTCCAGAATATAAATGGAACCAGGGTGCGGTGCCCGGAGTGGTTCAGGGGGCTGACTCTGGAGCAGACAGCCCTGGCTCCCTCTGGCCTCCCCGTTGCTCGCTCTGGAACCTTGGGCAAGTAACTTAACCTCTCTAAGCCTCAGTGTTCTTACCTGTAATATGGCGATAACAGTGGTACCTTCCTCATAGGATTGTCGTCAACATTGAATGAATTAAAACTTGCAGAGGAATTAGTCCCTGGCATATAGTAAGCATCTAGTAAGTGTTCGCTCTTAATATCATCTCTGCTCGTTTGCTGCCTATGGTGGTCCTCCATTAACCAGCTATCAGTATAGAAGGTGTTAAGCACTCCCTTTGTGCTTATTTTTGTGCTAAATATGTTCAAGGAACACATAAGCAAGAGGACATGGGCCTTTAAGAGCTGTCAGTCCAGGTTATGGCCACCCCATGCCCAGTGATTGAAATGGATGCCTAAACAACCCACCAGAAATATTTGTTTCCTCAAGGAATGTGACTGTGTGCTTCCCTTTCTCTAAGGAGAGCTCTGGGTTTTTAGCACACTACTTTCCCCTCCTGGTATGTGACACCTGTAGAGTTTCATGGATGAGAGGGCGGGAAGGCCACCTCCTGGGAAAGGATGGTGAGCTGGTTGAGCGGGGGTATGGGCCCGCCACGTGGCCCAGGGCGGGGAGGATGCCTCCCAGGAGCCCTCAGAACCGGGTTCCAGGTCCCCCTGTTGGTCCCACGTGGTGCCCACTTGCTGGTTCCTGAGGGATACTGAAAGAGTGTGCGACGTGGTTCCTGCTCTCAAGGATCTTGTAGTCTGGAAGGGATGAGCAGTAGGTCTCGGATGATTCTTAATTACATAGCATGAACTGTGGGCCTGGAGAAGAGAGAAGTAAGTACGAATTGATGGCATATTTGTCAATCCGAACTCCCCAAACCAGTTTAAGCAAAAAGGAGAGCAGGTTTTGGAGCTGAAGGGTGTAAATGATGTCATTAGGACCTGGTTTTGCTTCCTTGCGTCCTGGCTGTCTGCCTCTGGGTTGGCCCCATTCCCAGATAGGCCTTGCTCTGTGGTGTAAAGGTCACAGCCAGGAGGGCCAGGGCTCCTGCATTCAGGTTCAGGTCCAGCATTTCCTCGGAAGTCCCACTCATTGGCCTGGCTTTGCTCTCATGTCTATGCCAGAGCCAGTTGCTGGGGCAAGAGGGATGTGACACACTGGTCACATGACACACCGTGGTCACATGCATTACTCCAGCAGTTCTCAACCTGTGGGTCGCGACCCCTTTGGGGGTCGAACGACCCTTTCACAGGGGTCGCCTAAGACCATTGGAAAACACATATTTTGATGGTCTTAGGAACCGAGACACCGTTCCTCTATCCGTCTACAGGCGTGTCCGCCCACATGCAGATAGGCCCACATACGAGTACCCGGCGTGATGACATCATCACGCCAACCCCATCACATACACCCCGTACAAATACAGGTGTATGTGACAAGATTGGCGCCATAATGTACTTATGCGGACCAGTCACACATGTGTAGAGAGCAGCTACTGTGTAGAAAGCAGCTGCTG